TTCCTGCTGTTTAAAATTATTTGTTTTTTGTAGTCCTTCTTTACAGTTTGAAGCTGCATGGGCTTTGACAAACATTGCATCTGGAACCTCTGAACAAACTCAAGCAGTAGTTCAGTCCAGTAAGTTGATTATTAAAAGACAAAATTGTGATTTTCAAAAAAAAGTTAATTAAAAAACTCAATTCCTAAAAGACTAGAGCTATTTATATTACAAAGTAATTAAGTATTTTGAATTCAGTAACAAATAAGGTAGTTGAAATAGGCCAACTCAAGTATGTTACTTTGATCATCTTGTCCCATTGACTGACATTTTCTATTTCCAGAAATTCATTTGATTCTAAATCTGAGAACATTTTGTAATTATAGTCGTAGTTACATTATTGTGTTTATAGGACATTACAGAAATAAAGGTGTTTTTCCTGTTGCCATACAACCTGTTGGACACTGTTAATGAGATGTCCATTATACATTTTAAAGAAATCTTCTTTTATAAAGTAGTCCTACTTTAGAGAATGGCTTGAAATTTTTTTTCCCACTGTTATAGGATTGATTGTTTTTTATGTTCCAAGAAATGTAAGTGGGAAATAATTATTGAAAGTAATAACTTGAATTATTTTCATAAGTACTATTTGATTCTTCTACTAAACAAAGAAATTAATAATTTTAAAGAAGGTACTTTCAGAATCCCCTTCAAATATGTAAGCAGTATACTTGTCTAAGCCTATTAAAATCTTAAGCACTGTCAAGATTTTGAAAGGGAACAAAAGTGTTATCCAGTGAGGATTTTATTATATAGACACTTGTATTATAATATTACATAGAAAAGAGAATTTCCTTAAATTATAATAAAACTGATTGATTTTGGGGTTTGGTTTTTTTGGTTTTGTTTTGTATAGTTGACTGTTTAGTTAATTTTATGATCTCAAGACAATGTCTTAATCCCTCTTCTTTTCTCTTTTGTGTTCCTTAAAGATTAGAAAGAGGCTTAGAATTTGTTTTAACACTGCTAGTCTGTCTTAATATACCAAAAGTAATGGATAAATGAATTGCTTTTTACTATAAGTAAGCATGATTGATCTACATGTACTCAAATAGCATTTTTCAGAGCAATATCAGAGGGAAGAAAAGAAATAGAAGAATCATTTGTTCAGTTTAGTATTATTCTGTTAAACGTCTCTTTGTTTTGCCTTGTGTTAAGCAACAGAATCATTTTCTGATTCAGAAGGTCTCACGTGGCACAGGAATCACTGGCCTGGCTAAAGACCCATATGATGTTATTTTAAATTTCTATATTCAAAAGTTATTTTAATAATTGGAGTTTTTTAAAATTTGAAGATAATGCTAATCTATAAGGAATTAATTTCTTGAAATTGGAATTAAATCCGGTTTTAACTGTGAATGAAATTTTATCAGCTTAATTTGACATTTGTCTGTGTGTTAAAACTGTCACTTTGATGATGAATAGTCTGCTAGCCAGAAATTTTCCACTACCGTTATTCTAATGAAAATCATTTAATGAAGATATATTTTAAATATATTTTTGATAGGTTTCTTTCTTTTGGGATTTCAGCAAAGAAACAAGTTTGATTTTTGGTTTAGATTATAGTGTTTTCAACCTTTTTCCTTTCAATTTTATTGAAATATAATTGATATATAACAGTATCTTCAAACTTAAATGATAGCTTATGTTTTCCTTCTTCAGATGCTGTTCCACTTTTCCTGAGGCTTCTCCATTCACCCCATCAAAATGTCTGTGAGCAAGCAGTGTGGGCATTGGGAAATATCATAGGTTTGTCTAAAACTTGTAATACTAGTCCAACAATCATTGTTATCATGTACTGTGTAATAAAAATGACTACTAGTAGTTGAAAAGAAAAAGCAATTTGCCTTTTTTAGTACTAGTTTTTATGAACTAGTTTACAGAAATTACAGGTGTTTAAGTATAAACCCATAGTAAACAGAATGAACATTTTTGTTGCTTGTGATACCAGTATATCTCTTTGTATATAGTCAACTCTTAATTATTTGAATAATTATGAAATATGTATGTGATTTAGGTATTTTCCTCTTTCTCCTTTATTATGTTGGTCCATTTTATTCCTCAACTCTCTTACTATCCTAGGAAATAATAAGAAAAAAGGAGATGGCAAAACTTAAACCAAAATTTTTCTCTGTAATAGCAGTTCTGAGAAGAATCTAAATTGAAAATTTTTATATCTCTTGTGGATTTTAGTGCAATGAAGTATAGTAATATTATCCACTATCATCATGAGGTCATCATCATACATGTGGTATCTGTACCTTATATAGGCAGTCTCATTAAATGTTGACCACCATGATTGCCATACCTTCAGGTTTTTTCTGATAAATAATTGTAGGAAGAATAATTAAAGACAATTCCAGTATTTCAAGAATTTGTTTTTTAACTACAGCCTAACTTTACCCAAACTCAAAAATTCAAAAATCTATCCTCCAGTGGAGAATGGAAAAAATCTGCAGTCTGAACTGTATTGTGTACCATGATGTTAAAAGTTATATTTGCCACAGATTTTAAAATTTTTGCATAGAAGTAATCAGTTTTGCTCTGATACACCTCCTCTTTATTACCCTTTTGGGGGCCAAGATGGAAGGTAAGGTATGGTTAGTGCTCCACAATTGTGAGTTTTCAAATGGGAGAATTTCCCTATAAACTGTTCTTGGCATATGGTATATTACTGTTAGGAATGCTATCATTTGTATATCCAGAGTCCCTCACTTTTATACCAAATTGTAGATTTAGAACTATTAGTACAACATCTTGATCTTTGGCTTTTAATTCCAGTGACATTTTAGAATTAATTAGAATACATGGTTGCAAAAAGAACAAGCATTTTATCTTCAAATACCACAGTGCAGGGCAAAGTGTTTTCACTTACGGAATGTAATACTTCAGTGTGGCTTTCATATTACAAATTATAGTGATACTCTAGATAGAGGAAATTAAATTTGGCACTTTTCTCTAGGGCAGTGATTCTCAAACTCTAGCCTGTTATCAAAATTATATTAAGGGCTTGTTAAAACAGAATCTTGGACCCACAGAGTTTCTGTTTCAACAGATTTGGGATAGGGCCCCCAAATCACTATGGGAACCACTGATCTAGGGGTATTGGTTCCCTCTCCCCTGCCTTTTTGAGACATAGTTTCTAAGTGTATAGAGTAATTTATAGTTAATACTCTCTATGCTTTGATATTTTGATAGATGATCATCAGTATAAATTCTACAAATATTTTCTCTGTAATGGTATTTCAATATATCTCTTTATAACGTGAAAGTTTCTTAGAGTACCATTGAGAGAGAAGAGAAAAAGCAAGAATTCTGTGTTCACAAAGTACTTTAAAGCCTTATTGAGGCTTTTAGATGGCATAAAAACATTTTAGGGTGAACAGCATATAAACCTGAATACATGAATAATGTGCAAAAACATCTTAGCACCTTATCTTGCTTCTCTTGGCTCAAAGACCTAAAATGTGAACTAGGTTATTATTGTCTAAAACTTTCACATAAAACAAAATAGTGTACTTGGTTCAAATATAGGAAGTAGCATATTGAACCCAGTGCTTTACGTTTTCTGAGTTGCTTATTGAATGAATAAATCCTTCTTCCTACAGGTGATGGGCCACAGTGTAGAGATTATGTCATAAGTCTTGGAGTTGTGAAACCTTTACTTTCCTTCATAAGTCCATCTATTCCTATAACATTCTTAAGAAATGTTACTTGGGTTATGGTCAACTTATGTCGCCACAAAGACCCACCACCCCCAATGGAAACCATTCAGGAGGTAAGTACTTTTGTTTTTGTTTTCTTTTAAAGTAAAGTAGATACCATTATGTGTATGTTTTTATCTGTGTATATTTTAAAATCTATATATTTCTCTCTTCAGATTCTTCCAGCTCTTTGTGTTTTAATTCATCACACAGACGTAAATGTGAGTAAATGCTTCCCGTCATATATTTTTATATGTATATATGGTTAGGGCTTGTCCCTATGACACAGGGAAGAAAATGACATTATGTCAGTGCACCCTATCAAATTTTTTCATTTCAGGAGCTGCAATACATAGTGGTATTTTATATTTTCTCTGTGTTTACCCATATCACAATATGTAATTTCAGTGAAGAAATCAAGCCTGTTATTTTGGTCTGGGCAATAATGTATGTGCAATGTATGTGCATATATTATATATTAGTGTTGTGAAAACTGACATTGGAAGTTCTTAAAGTTGCCAGTTAGTAATCTCTCTCACTAAGATTTTATCTTTGATTGTTAATGAGCTTCTTATGAAAGCTCGTTTTGACAGCTGGCCATTGAGAGAACACTTACACCTAGTGGTATTATTTTTTGAAAGGTATAAAAGAGAAATATTTGTGCCTTTATGCATGGGTTTGTATTCATATACCATTCTTACACCAAACCATGAATATCAGTTGCTCTTTAATTTCATTTTTACTCTATTAATTCATTTATAATGACTTTGGTAATGGCTTCACTTGGTGTAGAGATAATTGAATATACAAACAAAAAGGAAACAAATCAGTGCAGACTAGATTTTAAACATAATAAATATAGCCTACTCATACTAACACAGAGAGCAAAGAAGAAGGCAACTCAGGAAGTATGAATGAGTGGGAAACTGCCATAACTGCTTATAAATTCAGTCTAGCCTTTATTGTGTTAGAAGAGCTAGGAATATAATGTGTAAAAGAAAATCACATGGATAAAACTAATAGTAACAATCAGAACCTTGTGTAGTTCTTTAAAAACACAGTTTGGTATGATCAGTGTCTGACAAGCTGCTTCATTCCTTCACAGTTTCTAGGGTATTAATACCCTTTTGCCAGGATCCCTGTAAAGATATGGAGCAAATTAAAGTTAGAATTATACTACATCAAGCAGTGACATAATGTGCTTGATTATTCATTAGATGAACATGATCTTTGTCCTAAAGATATTTTTTTCTAGCTCCAGATAGTCTAGGGTGTTTAAAAAACAAACAAGCAAAAAAACCACACATGTAAACAAATTTTGGTTTTGGCTTATTATAGCCAAATTCTTTTTTTTTTTTTTTTTTTTTTTTTTT